AGCAGGATAAAAATCTGAAACCAGAATAAATTGAAGGCTGTACTAGCAATGATCATGCATGTAACTTTTTAGTTATCTGTGAGTGAGATATGAGTTAGGTCACTTGCTGCAAGAGTAAGCAACAGATTAGTTTAACATAGAAAAATTAAATCTTACACTTTGTGGTCAAGAATCTCTGCATATAGGCTAAACTTAGTCCAATTGATTCTTTATTTTCTATCAATATGAAATCCAGATCTCTAGCAATTACAATAGGTTAAAAAAAATCCCTACTAAATTAAATTATTTCAAAGATAACATCTGTGTTTCCTCCACTACAGAAAAGGGACTAGCACATCCTTTTAAAACCTCCCAGGTTTGAAGGCAATACATAGATGACAAAAGGAAGCAATATAGATGTTAACTAACTGTATTTTGTTTGACAAGGTTAAGCTACAAGAAACAAACATTGCTTTTTTAAATTTTTAAACTTAGTCTATAATGGAACCTTCATAAAAAATGCATGGAAAATCTGCAAAATAACTGAAATGTGTATTATGCTAAAACGTGTTAAAGATAGGATGAATCAGTGTTAGTTACATCCAGAATTTAGGAACAGTCCTTGCAGTTGTTTCTGCAGGGTTTAATGACTAGTTGTTGGTCTTCATTAATACCTCTCACAATTTACTTATTTATTCCCTGAGCTTCGATGCCATAAAAAACCCCAACTGCTTACATGCAGAGCTTTTGAAATAAAGGATCTAGGCTGGGGTTTTTTGGGGGAAGCAGCAAAGTTACTTAGCGAGCTGGTGGTCAGCCCTTTTTTATTCTTCTTGTTAACAAGGTATGAAGAATTACTAGCATCACAAATAACACTTTAGATACTGCACTATCTGGATGAAAAAAAAACAAATGTCTTGAGTTGAGTGTTCTCTCAGTGTAAGGGAGATTCCCCAGAGAGTTGCTTCTTTTCACAGCTCAACTTTCCCATCGTCTTGAGCATCTCTAGGCAGATAATATTTTCATGTGAGCCTGCAATATTTTGCAAGTGCTGATTGCATGTGCCAAGGAGAAAAGAGTACTACTTCACAACCAACCTCAATTTGTCCAAAACAGTCTTAAAGGCAGTAAGTGCGGAATTGTATTAATCCTCAGGGAATTCTACACACAAACTTCTCAGTTTATTATATACTCGGTACAGATCCAGAGCTCTGACTTTTAAGCCTTTTTAGAACCAAAAGAACAAAAAGTTCCAGAACAAGAACTGGGATTGTTGCAGGTCTGTGAAAACAAGGACAATACTATACTTACTTGTTGCCCTGCTCCTCTGGGAACTGAATCAGATTTATGCGCTATAAACAAGACCTGGTATTTCAACAGTATATCTAATCATAAATGGTCCAGATATGCAGTTTGTGCATGTTACTGTAAACTCTTTATGGACTACTAAATAAAGATGGAACGGTATACTGCATTTTAACTGTGGTTTCTTACATGGTTAGTATCAGAGAGGATAGTAATGAGTAACTTAAAAAAATCTCAACTCTGTAAATTATTGACAAAAAGTTTCAAAATAACTTCAGCTTAAGATTTCAAATTGTGATTTTACTTCTTAGCAAAGTTGTTATTACCGTCTTAACAAGATCCATGTAGTAGAAATCCTCCCAGAAGTCGAGCAGCAATATTTACTTAATGTTCTACAGTAATGTCCAAGTATACACACACATTTCCATTCTTCTCTTCATTAAATGGATATCCTGATTTTATTAAATATGACATCTCTACTTACATAAGAAATCATATAAAATGCCCAACACAATACCACATCATTGCTACTGCTGTTTGTTCTTTTTTTTTCCCTTCATAGAGGTTTTTTTGTTTATTTTTTAAACTGCTTAAGTCAGACATCTGTTAATAACTAGAATAGCTGTTTTAGATTCATTCTGAACAAAGCTGTTCTTCCAAAAAAAAAAATGCAATGGCAGCTACAAAGAAAAATTCAAACTCACTCCAAAATGAATAAAAAAAAAACTCTTTCCATTCATAAGAACTCTTTCAATAATATGTTTCCTCATAATGTGATCTAGAATAAATAAAGATAACTTATTAAGAATTTCCTGTATGAGACACCCTGCTCTCTTCCCCTATTTCAAGAGTTTAGCAAAACACTGTTGCAGATTTTTCCTTTAAAAAGTTTATTTTTCTCCCCAGGGTTTCTGAAAAAAACAAAACCAAACAATCTAAAAACACAAAAAGAACAGATACATACCAATTAATGGATTTTTTCTTATGTCGAGTACAACTAATGTTGTATTCGTTTGAAGAGCATCTAATAAGGACTTTGCTCCTTCATTGGATATCCCACACTGCTGCAAATCAAGTGCTAAAATGTTTAAAGAGGTACAAAAAATATTACTCAGTGGCATAATATTAGTCAGTGTCTAATACAATTAACGCACATCTGCTGAAAACATCAATTTCACAAAATATGAAGAACAAGAGGACAAAGAATCATAGAATGGTTGAGCTAGAAGGGACCTTAAAGATCATCTAGTTCCAAACCCCTTGCCATGGGTAGGGACACCTCCACTAGACCAGGTTGCTTGGAGCCCCATCCATCCTGGCCTTGAACACATCCAGGGATGGGGCTTCTACAATCTCCATGGGCAATCTGTTCCAGTGTCTCACCACCCTGACAGTCAAGAATTTCTTCCTAATGTCTGACTTGAATCTCCCCACTTCCAGTTTAAAGCCATTACCCTTGTCCTATCACTATAAGCCCTTGTAAAAAGTCTTTCCCCAGTCTTCCTCTAGGCCCCTTCAGGCACTGGAAAGTGTTCTAAGGTCTCCCCAGAACCTTCTCTTCTCCAGGCTGAACTACCCCAACTGTCTTGGCCTGTCTTCATGCTCCAGCCTTCTGATCATCATCATGGCCCTTCTCTGGACTTGCTCCAACAGCTGCATGTCCTTCTGTTAGGGGCTTCAGAACTGGACACAGTACTCCATGTGGGGTCTCAGCAGAGGGGGAGATGCCCCCTCCCTTTACCTGCAGCCCAGGACAACACAGTTGGCTTTCTGGGCTGCAAGTGCACATTGCTGGCTCATGTTGAGCCTCTCATCAACCAGCTGCTCTCGATCCATTCTCTATCCAACCTGTATTCATGCTTGGGATTCTCCCAACTCAGGTGCAAGACCTTGTACTCGGCCTTATTGAACTCTGGAGGGCATCTCTTCCCTCCAGGGTGTCCACCACACCACACAGCTTGGTGTCAGCAAACTTCCTGACGGTATACTCAATCCACCAGTTCCCTCAGGAGCCATGGATGGATCTCATCAGGTCCCATGGACTTGTGAACCCTCAGGTTCTTAGGATGGTCTCCTACAGTAGATGGATCTTCCTTTTCCCAGACCCTGACCTTTGCCTTCTGCAACTCAGGTGGTGTGGCCAAAGCCCTTGCTGGTGAAGACTGAGGCAAAAAAGTCATTGAGCACCTCGGTCTTCTCCATATCCTGTGTGACCAGCCTCCTGTTTCCTTCTGGATAGGGCCCATGTCTTTCTCTTATCACTGGCATACCTGTAGAAGCTATTCTTGTTACCCTCAATGTCCCTGGCCAGATTTATTGCTCTCAGGGCTTTACCTTTCCTAACCTGATCCTTGGCTGCTTGGACAACTTTTTTGTACTCATCCCAGGCTACCTGTCCTTGCTTCCACTCTCTGTAGACTATTTTTAGATCTCAGTGTGCCCAGAAGCTCCATGTTCTGGTACATGGGCTTATTTCTGTCCAAGTGCAGGACTTCACACTTTCTTTTGTTAAACTTCATGAAGTTCCCGTCAGCCCGTTTCTCTAGCCTGTTCAGGTCTCACTGGATGGCAGTACATCCTCACTTTCTGAGGGATCCAAGAAAGGCTGACTGGCCTGTAGTTCTTAACGGCCCTTCTTTCCAGCCTTCTTGAAGATATGAGTGACATTTGTGATGCTCCAGTCTTCAGGCACCACTCCCAGTCACCATGATCTTTAAGGGATTATTGAGAATGGCCTCACAGTGACACCCACCAGCACTTTCAGAACTTCTGAATACACCTCATCAGGGGCTATGGACTTCTGTATGGCCAGTTTGCTTTAGTATTCTCTAATCTGACCCTCTTCCATTGGTATACATGTTCTCTGTACCCCTGGCCAGACTATAAAACAATTTCAACAGGTAAATATTTGATTCCAAGTACAGAATGTTATGACTCACACCACTACCATTAGTAATTTTGTACAGATACGCTGTAGAATAAATTATTTCTCTAAATTACCGGAGGACAATAACAGATGACCCAGTATTTAGACATTTTGACAAAAAAAAACAGAACAAAGTAAGACAACAGATTCCCTTCTCCCTTCCTGCTCCTTTCTCTCTGCTGGGGCTACTGCTGGCTCCTTCGGTTTCCCATGTGCTCACTCCAGAATCCAACTGCACTGGGTGCCATGAGGAGCCGTAGACCTCTCTCTTGGCACAAACCACTTCTCATCACAATCATTCACCAGGTTGTGAAGTGTCCTTGTGCAATATAGTTCATTGGGTCCAGACTCTGATTGTGCAGCTTTGGAAGACCCCAGTGCCAGGGGAGGAGACTGCTCCCGAAGCAGCCCATGACTCTGTGGGAAGCCCAGGCTGGAGTAGGTTGCTCTGGACCTTGTGGGAAGGACTCAGGAAGGAGAGGTTCCTGGAGGACTCTCTCCCACGGGAAGGACCCCGTGGGGAAGCAGGGAAGGACTGGAAGGAATCCTTCTTCCTGAGGAGGAAGGAGCAGCAGGAAGCACCAGTCTGTGAACTGACTCTAAACCCCATCCCGTGTCCCTCTGTGCCACTGGAGGGGAAGGAGGGAGAGAAACCGGGAACAAAGTAATTTGGGCCCAGGAAGAAGGGAGGGGTGGGGTAACATATGCAAGCCCTGCTCTTTGTGTTGTGTCCTGTGTGTGTTTGATTAGTGTGAAATTAAATTATTATTTTTTCCCAAAGTTGAGTCTGTTTTGCCCAAGACCTTAATCGGTGAAGAACCCTCCTTGTCTTTTGTCTCAACCCATGAGCTTTGACCTCCTCATTCCAGAGTATGAGGGGGGAGCAGCTGAGTGAGCAGCCATGTGGCTGTTCTTGTGTTGTCGTGTTGGGCCCAAACCATGACAGACAGTAACAGTTAATCGCCTGCCTGGAGACAGAGAAAGAATCCAGTAAGGTGTTAGAAGACCCCAAACTGGAAATCGCCATTGAACTAAAATGGTGTACAAAAAGTGGATGTGTGGGTGCTCAGGCAGTAGCTTCTCCCTCAAAAACTCTTTGTTGTCTAAATAGTTAGTTAGTCTTCTGGACACATTTGATATAACTGACAATTTTAAGTTGCCCATGCTACATATTAAGAGTTAATATTTCACAATACCTTTTAGCCAAAGGTCCTCTCCTAGACACTCTGCAAAGGCACTTGTTCCCCTATCTCCAACAAGCATGTTGCCGTTCAAAGTAATCCGCCTCAAGCCAGTCATATCATCAAGATCAGGTCTCCTGTAACGCAGGCTTTCAGCCCAAGCTTCACCATGTCTTTTCATTGCCTGGTACTTTGCAAACAAAGAAGCTGTTACAAAGTGCAAGGGAAAGCTATTATTGATTACAAGATGACCACAAGTTTTCTTTCTTTGTAACCAAAGCTTAATGGCTTGAAGGCTGATTAAGAAACACAGTTAAACCCTTTCTGAGTTTAATTAAAAATAATTTTTAAGCATTGCAGTTAAGCCATATTTGTTTGGATCATTCAATCTACAATGCAAATTATTAAGTATGGGTACAAAGTATCTTACTACCTTCTTTTGGAAGACAGACATTTTAAATGCATATTGAATAAGATACATAGACTAGGAAATTATGTACTTTCATGCAAACCAATGACAGCATGACTTAGAATACTGTACTAGTCACAAGCTTACTGAGACACAGTTAAGACATTTTTCAACAGTTGTGACAATGAAAGAAGTGCTGCCCAGAACAAGTGTCAGGTATTTACAGTTCTGATCCTCATTTAACAAAAATACATCAATCTGAACTGTCATTCCTTAAACTGATGTTTACTAAGAAATATCATATTTAAATCTCACACCAGCAAACTAAACTACGTTTGGCATACAAAATCACAAATTTGAGAATGACTATTTCATACAATGCTCTAAGTGGTTTGATGGTTTAGATCTTGAAAGAAAAAATTTTAAAATCATAGAATCATTAAGGTTGGAAGGCACCTCAAAGATCATCTAGTTCCAACCCCCTGACATGAGCAGGGACCCCTACCACTAGACCAGGTTGCACAAAACCTCATCCAACCTGGCCTGAAAAACTCTAGGGATGGGGCATCAACAACCTCCCTGGGCAACCCATTTCGGTTCCTCATCACCCTTATAGTGAAAAATTTCTTCCTAATATTTAACATAAATCTCCCCTCTCTCAGTTTAAAACCATTACCCTTTTTCTATCACTATCCTCTCTGATGAAAAGCCCCTCCCCAGCTTTCCTGTAGGCCCTTTTCAAGCACTAGAAACTGCTACGAGGTGTCCTTGGGGCTTTCTCTTCTCTAGGCTGAACAGCACCAACTTTTTCAGCCTGTCTTCATAGCAGAGGTGCTCCAGCCCTCTGATCATCTCAGTGGCCCTTCTCTGGACCCTTTCCAACACGTACATATCCTTCTTGTGCTGAGGGCACCAGAACTGTACACAGTATTCCAGGTGGGGTCTGAACAGAGGAGAGGGACAGAATCACCTCCCTGGCCCTGCTGGCCACACTTCCTTTGATGCAACTCAGGACACAGCTGGCCCTCTGCGCTCTGGTGCACACTGGTGGCTAATGTCGAGCTTCTCATGTGTTACCACCCCCAAGTCCTTCTCCTCAGGACTGCTCTCTAGCCATTCTCCCCCCAGCCTGTATTTATGCCTGGGGTTGTGCTGACCTGGTGCACGACTTTGCACTTGGCCTTGTTGAACTGGCACTGGCCCACCTCTCCAGCCTGTCAAGATCCCTCTGGATGTCACCTCTAGAGTGTCAGGTGCTCCACACAGCTTGGGATCATCAGCAACCTTGCTGAGGATACACTAAATCCCACTGTCCATATATCCACCAAAGATATTAAACAGCACTGGTCCCAGTATTGACTCCTAAGGCACACCACTTGTCACCTGCCTCCATTTGGACATTGACTACAACCCTCTGGGTGTGGCCATCCGCCAATTTCTTATCCACTGAGTGGTCCATCTGTCAAATCCATGTCTTGTCATTTTGAAGACCAGGATGGTGTGGGACAGTGTCAAACACCTTGCACAAATCCAGGTAGATGAGGCCAGTTGCTCTGCCACCATTCCCCATCTCTGTAGCCTTGCTGTAGAAGGCCACCAGATTGGTCAGGCGTGACACTTGCCCTTAGTGAAGCCATGCTGGCTGTCACCAATCACCTCTTTATTTTCCATGTGCCTTAGCTGACTTTCCAGGAGGATCTGCTCCATGATCTTGCCAGGCACAGAGGTGAGACTGACCGGCCTCTAGTTCCCTGGGTCTTCCTTTTGTCCTTTTTAAAAACAGGGGCTATGTTCCTTTTTTTCCAATCAGTGAGAATCTCACCAGACTGCCATGACTTCTCAAATATGATGGACAGAGGCTTAGCAACTGCATCCGTCAGCTCCCTCAAGACCCATGGGTGAATCCCACCAGGTCCCATAGATGAACCCCATCAGGTCCCATAGATTTACTCCATTTCAGGTTCTTTAGATGGTCACAAACCTACTCCACTCCTACAGCGGGGGGTAATTCACTCTCCCAGTCCCTGCTTTCACCTTTTGTTGCATTTGTGTTGAGGGTGAAGCACTCGCCAGAGAAGACTGAAGCAAAGAAGTCATTGAGGACCTCAGCCTTCTCAATATCCTGTGTTGCTATCTCACCCATTTCCTTCAGGAGAGGGCCTACACTCTCCTTGGATGTCCTTTTCTCCCCAGCATATTTAAAGAAGATTTTCTAATTGTTCTTACATCCCTCGCAGAGCCACAAAGATGATTAAGGGAGTAGAACATCTCTCTGATGAGGAAAGGCTGAGGAAGCTGGGTCTCTTCAGCTTGAAGAAGACTGAGGGGCGACCTCTTCAATGTTTACAAATATGTTAAGGGCAAGTGTCAGGAGGACAGAGCCAGGCTTTTTTCAGTGATATCCAGTGATAGGAGAAGAGGCAATGGTTGCAAAATGGAGCATAGGAGGTTCCGCATAAACATCAGAAAAAACTTCTTTACTTCTTTACACTGGCACAGGTTGCCCAGAGAGGGTGTGGAGTCTCCTTCTCTGGAGACATTCAAAACCTGCCTGGACAAGTTTCTGTGTGATGTGCTCTAGGTGATCCTGCTCTGGCAGGGGGGTTGGGATAGTTGATCTTCTGAGGTCCCTTCCAACCCCTAAGATTCTGTGATTCTGTGATCCCTGGCAATATTTAATTCTAGCAGGGATTTGGCTTTCCTAACCTGATCCCTAGCTGCTCAGACAACCTCTCTGTAGTTCTTCCAGGATACCTGCCCTAGCTTCCATCCCTTGTATGCTTCCTTCTTAAGTTTAGAAGCTGATTGCTCATCCACACTAAGCTCTTGGAGCTTCTACCTGACTTCCTCTTAGTTGGGATGCAACATTCTTGGGCCTGAAGAAGGTGATCAGTCAGCTTTCATGGTCCCGTCCGCCCTCCATGATGTTATCCCAAGACATTCTCTTGAGCAGATCCCTGAAGAGACTGAAATCTGCCCTTCTGAAGTTAAGGGTAGTAAGCTTGCTGTTAGCTCTCCTTGCTGCCCTAAGGATCTTGAACTCCGCCATTTCACGGTCACTACAACCTAGGCTGCCCTTAAGCTTAACATCCCTCACCAGCCCCTCCTCGTTGGTGAGGACAAGGTCTAGCATAGTACCTTTCGTTGTTGGTTCCTCAATTACTTGGAAAAGGAAGTTATCATTCTTGCACTCCGGAAACTTCCTGCATTGTTTGTGTTTTGCAGAGCTGTTCTTCCTACAGATGTCAGGGTGGCTGAAGTCTCCCACGAGGACCATGGCATGTGAATGTGAAGCTGCTTCTATCTGTCTATATAGTGCCTCATCATCTTTATGTATGCAATTACATGTATTTAAATTTTTGTGAACATTTGGTTCTAAGAAAAGTGATTACATTACCTTTAATAGATTTGCTATATGTTCTGCCCCTCGCCATGTAAGACTACATCCTGAGAAGTTGACAGATCTGATAGTAGCTGAATTCCTTACACTCTGACAGATTGCTGAAGAAAACAAAGGCATCCATGTTACCTACACACACCACAGTTAGGTTATGAGAACACACTTTTTCACTTCCATATTAAGAAGCTGAATCAATTTCAATAGGCAAAAGCTATGACAAAGAACTAGTGTTAAAATACGAAGTATCTTTTAAATACATTTAAAGTATTCTAAGATTATCTCTTCCTAGCAGAAGCGTTTAGCAAAGACTATCTGAAAAAGCTAGAACGTATTTCAGTTTACTTAAGTAAACATGAACAAATCAAGAAAGACTTAACCTCATACAAATACTACGACTGCTGTTTTAAATAAAAGTATAAACATAACTATAAAGTAGTATGCCCATTTATTAGCATCAAGTGAAGAAACTCAAGTCTTCAAATGTTAAGTCATGTAGAAAAATGTGGAAATTGTAACTTTAAGCACTATAGACAAACTTGAAATGGAACAGGAATGGAAATACTGAAAAGCTTACTTAACTATTTAAAGGATTAAAAGAACAGATAAGTGTATTTATATGTTTTGAATCTGAACTTACTTTCCAATCCTCCATCTCCAATTGGACAGTGGGCTAAAGAGACACTCTCCAGAGATAAAGCTGTGGCCAAGCCCTTCAGAATAAAAACAGTATTTGTTAACCGCCTTGAAAAGCAAAAATACAGAGAGAAGACCTAACCACCCAAACTGCTCAGATGTCTTTGTGCTCACTAAAAGACACTCAAGGGTGTTTTGAGGAGGGTGAAACAAGAGAATCTTAAAGCTCAGTTTAAGCAAATTAATTTATTTAGCACAGGAAGAGCTGTAGCCTGTTGGCAAATAGCAGCAGCCACTCCCAAGCAAACTGGAGAGTATTCTAACACATCTTGAACACTCATTTTTACCACCTTGGTGTCCCACAGCTCTTCCTTCTGCCAAGTACATGCACAGTAATTTCAGTCATGAGTTATATGCACATGGCACACATGGAAGAGATGTTGCTAAGAACTTTCTAATAAGCCTTGATGAATCAGTGCAAGGGAAAGTTGTGGTTTTGATAGGTTCAGCAAGACTAGGTTATACTAAATGTCTCAGCAGAATCATTCATACAATGGATAACATAAAGATATCTTCAAAGAGATATCCTTGTCTGTGACAAATATTTATAAAATGTAGTTGATACTTCTCTATGTTCTAAGCATATTTTCCATGTATTTGTATACTAATGTATTCTCACCTTTGTTAAAAGTATTAGATCTCTCTCCCTCAGAAGCAAACCCTGCAGTTCTAAATTTTTTAGTACATCTGATATACTGAGACAGCCTTTGACAGCTCTGCATAGTTGGCCAGTCAAGTCTTTTGATCGAATTGCTGGAGTTCTCCTTCTAATGTAAGTTTTATATCTTTCAACACCTAGTAAACAACAAAAATTACACATCAGTAAAATCCATTCCCTATTGACTTAAAAGCAATCATAATGACACCTTGCTTTTCGGCTGCTTTTCTTATATTGAAATAATTCCTTGGGTATTACAGTTCCTCCCCCTATATAGTCAATCCCACAAACATTTTATGCAACAAATTGTAATAGCCATACATCAACACATTTGTCTTGGGTAGTCACTACAAACCTGATTCTCCGAGACCCTGCTGATGAAAACTTCTTATTCCAATAGAAGTCAGAGTCTTGTTATGCCTGATAGCACTCAGAAGTGGTGCCCAATCAGCAGCTTTCATGCGATCTACAATTAGATCAAGAGCACCCTGAGTCAGGTTAGCCTTCACAGCTTTCAGTGGCAGAGAGCCTTGAAGAGCACAAAGATGTTCATAATGTGAGTAGAAATCCAGCATGGACTGTCTTCTTATTTTGACTGACTCAATCATTTCTTTTATGTGAAAAACGTCTCTCTAAAATAAGGAAAAAAAAAAAAAAAAAGAAGATATAAACATTTTCCAATGCATAATTGGTTTTGCAACAGAAGTTCGATTCAAGAGGCATACGCAAAACATAAACATATTTAGGCATATTGTACAGCATTTACATTTCTTTGATGTGGCAGCTAACATGTTGATGTCTTGTGATGATGATAGTGAATCTGTGTAAGTACATCTGAACAAACAAAAAAACCAAACACACAATACCCCACATTTTTTTATTCTCCCACATAAACAAGTATACCCAAAACACAAAGCCCTAATGTTCAAGCCCTAAGTGATGTAAAGCTCTTGTTTTCTTCTTCAATTTTAATGGTGTAATGTCGGGGTGTGCAGACTCCTGAAAGTCTTGGGCACCCCCTGACTCAACATCTTGGGATACAAATTATTATTCCATAGAGAAGTAGTTGCTAGCTTCTCTGCTACTTCAATAAAAATCCTAAATTATTGTAATACAGAATAAAATGTGTGTTTTCCTATATAATTTTGCCATTGCATACCTTACATTCTTATCCTAGTAAATTTAGGAACACACTTTTCAGGACAAAGTTTTTGTTACACATTAGTGTCCACAGAGCAAAACAGTATTAACTCGCAAACAGAATCCCTAAATACTGCTTCGGCAAAACTATTAAGAATAAGTAATTCCATGGTCTAAATAGAAATATTGGTATATTTAGAGGATTGACTTATTTATCTATCTATTTATTTCATTATTAATCAACACAGCCTTAAGCATCCCACACCGGACATTGTTTACACTGCAAACATTTTTTTTTCATGTTGTTAAAGACCAGAAAGCTTCAGCCAATATTATGAAACATTCTATGCCAGCATGGGACAAGAATTACTGGATACGTACAAGCATGTGAAGACAACCATTTGTAAGACTATAATTTAGAAAAAAAATAATCACATCATTACTATTTGGATGACTGAAATTGTAATAATAATAGGAATAGAAGCTATAATAAGAGTTCCTGTATGTCCTTTTATTTCTTTTACCACAGCACTGATTTACTAATTACCACACTGTGGCCACAGGAACAGAAATTATTAAATTATAATCCAACTCTTCAGCTTCAAAAAGTCAACATCCATTGTAAAGCATCACAGATTTCCGGTGACAATGTGCAACATACATGGAGCCTTTTGTCTCCAAAGCTTAAACAATATATGGTGGCTTTCACTGCAACAACTGAACACCACACCTTTAACAGAACTAGAGAGGTACTTCTGGCCCTACCACTTGTTTAGCCCATATGCAGGTCAAAAGGAAAAGGGCCAAACTAATCAGACTCACAGTAAGTCCCAACTGAGAAACTTCTATGTAAACTAAAATTCTTCTGCACAGAGGTTAGTACATCTGACACAAGCCCAGAATACCATGTCTGGCTCTGAGAATGTACACAGAAGACAATTATTTACTACCTCTTTCACTACAGAAGGAAGAAGACATCAGGTGATACTAACCTGGTGACAAATAAACAAACAAAGCATACCATGTAACTGAGAAATCCAGTTCTGTACTAAGAGTTTTTAGGAAGCTGTAAGTTTGTAACAATTCAAAACACAGCAAAGCAAATTTCGGGGGGG